TTGTTGGGGAAATTTGTTAGTAAAATCTGTTTTTTCCTTGTTTGCCTATCTCCTTTTCTGCCATCAGTTTGCTTCGAAATGCTCAACTACTCCTCTAGAGTATCTGCTGAAGTGTGTAATGATAGACTAAGGCCAAATTTTTAACTTTTGGAAAATGTCAGTTTTTGGCTGGAAAAACCCGACAGGCGCGCGCCTGTAGAAAAATCTCAATTTTGGGCATTTTTAGGCTATCTCCAATTTTGCTCCAAAATGTCAGATTACACTTCTAGATTACCTACTCTACATCTACAGTGTCCATTCATGTGTAAAACAATTGTCTGGGACTCAAGGTGAAGTGGTAGGACACCAAAAGTTGTTGGGGAAATTTGTTAGTAAAATCTGTTTTTTCCTTGTTTGCCTATCTCCTTTTCTGCCATCAGTTTGCTTCGAAATGCTCAACTACTCCTCTAGAGTATCTGCTGAAGTGTGTAATGATAGACTAAGGCCAAATTTTTAACTTTTGGAAAATGTCAGTTTTTGGCTGGAAAAACCCGACAGGCGCGCGCCTGTAGAAAAATCTCAATTTTGGGCATTTTTAGGCTATCTCCAATTTTGCTCCAAAATGTCAGATTACACTTCTAGATTACCTACTCTACATCTACAGTGTCCATTCATGTGTAAAACAATTGTCTGGGACTCAAGGTGAAGTGGTAGGACACCAAAAGTTGTTGGGGAAATTTGTTAGTAAAATCTGTTTGCCTATCTTTTTCCATCAGTTTGCTTTCGAAATGCTCAACTACTCCTCTAGAGTATCTGCTGGAAGTGTGTTGATAGACTAAGGCCAAATTTTTTAACTTTTGGAAAAATGTCAGTGTTTTTGGCTGGAAAAACCCGACAGGTGCGCGCCTGTTAGAAAAATCTAAATTTTGGGCATCAGTTTGCTTCGAAATGCTCAACTACTCCTCTAGAGTATCTGCTGAAGTGTGTAATGATAGACTAAGGCCAAATTTTTAACTTTTGGAAAATGTCGGTTTTTGGCTGGTAAAACCCGACAGGCACGCGTGCCTGTGGAAAAAATCTCAATTCTGGGCATTTTTAGGCATACACCAAAGATTGCACCAGATGCCTCTTGAAAACCTAATACTGAAAGGCAGAGCATGAAGGAGAAGAAGTGAATTTGTTTATAAGAATACAAACCTGGGCTCTGAATGTTCTATAAAAGATGTTTCCGGGATCCATGGATATGACTTTGGATATGATAGCCAGCGACTCCTCTAATCTCTCCATTGTGAGACACTCGTAGGCAGCTTGTACTAGTTGGGTTTCCAACTGGGTGTCTTTCTGTCAAAGAAAATCTGAGATGAAAATCTCACTGTTATATGTCATTAATGTAATATATTTATTCAGTGAAAGCAGCTGATATTAGTCAAATGTCAAGTATAGAATAGTCACCAGGAAGTCTACCGGGTCAACAAATGCCCGCAGAAGTCGGATGTGATGGGTGAAAGGTGCAAATATCGCAGCTATGCTGTAAATGGACACAACGCAATTACATCTTTGGATGAACGCAGCAGAAGAAGAAGAAGAATAGTCAGTCAGTCAGTCAGTCAGTCAGTCAGTCAGTCAGTCAGTCAGTCAGTCAGTCAGTCAGTCAGTCAGTCAGTCAGTCAGTTAGTCAGCCAGCCAGTCAGTCAGTTAGTTATCTTCATTGCACACCAGACAAGTCCATAAACACTCAAATCCCATCTTTAGTATATCCCCCAGAATGTGACAATTGATAACACTAATTCAGTTTTGGTTTACTATTCTTCTTTGGGGGGTCACCGTGGCCAAGCGGCTAGACGCTCGCCGCTGATCGGAAGGTCGTGGGTTCGCTCCCTAGCGGAGCCGGACTATTTTCAAAATGACCTTGGCTCCCAGGTCGACCCAGCCTTAAGTGGGTACCGGGTGCAGCCCCGGGAAATAAAGGTGGCCGGCGTGAAGCTGTCCACATCACCCATCTTGTGCCGATTGGTCTATAAAAATATAGGTCTAGCCCTATTTGCCCTATACGCCTTAAGGTATGGAAAAGGGTCCTCCTCTTTTTTTTCTTTTTTTTTTTATTCTTCTTTGGCTACCTTTATAGCGTTTATGTTTGGTGATGTGAAGTTCTTGTGGTCTTTTGAGTGTTGATGATTCAACATCGTCTCCTGAATATCAAGTATAGAATGCCATATAAAACTTTAAAGTAGGAAACAAGATATAGGATTAGAAAAGAAAGAGAGATGGATGAAGGTGGCTGCACGTGCATACACACACAAATATGTTCACACACTTATATCTGTGTCTGTCTGTCAGTATCTCTCTCTCTCTCTCTTTCTCTTTCCTCCTCCCCCAACACACACCCACCGACACCCCACCAACCCACCTCCACACTGCGTGCAAATGCACACACACATGTATAAAGACTTCATGAAATTAACAAAACGAGAAAACTTAATAATTACAGCATCATTAAAAATGGAGAACACTTATAAAGAGGACAGTGAAGGAAAAAAGATGAAGCCAAACATGCAAGAGGTAGACAGTTGCAGGTAAGGAAGATTGTTTTGTTCTCCATCATCTTATTATTTTTCTTCTTTCCCCTCTGCTTCTTTTTTTTCTTCTTTTCTTTTTGTGCTTCTTTCTTCTTCTTCTTCTTGTTTTTATTCTTCTGATAGCTTATATTCTTCATATCCTTCTTCATCTTCTTCTTCTGCTTCTGCTTCTTCCTCTTCTTCTTCTGATTTTCTTCATCTTCTTCTTCTTCTTCATCTTCTTCTTCTTCGTTGTCTTCTTCTTCTTCTTCTTCTGCTTCTTCTTCTTCTGCTTCTTCTTCTTCTTCTTTTTCTTCTTCTTCTCCTTCTCCTCATCCATCTTTTTCTTCTTCTCCTTCTTCTCCTCTTCTTCTTCTTCTTCTTCTTCTTCTTCTTCTTCTTCTTCTTCTTCTTCTCCTTCTTCTAATTTTTCTTTTTCATCATCTTCTTTTTCTTCTTCTCCTTCTCCTCATCCATCTTTTTCTTCTTCTCCTTCTTCTCCTCTTCTTCTTCTTCTTCTTCTTCTTCTTCTTCTTCTTCTTCTTCTTCTTCTTCTTCTTCTTCTTCTTCTTCTTCTTCTTCTCCTTCTTCTTCTTCTTCTAATTTTTCTTTTTTATTTTCTTCTTCTTTTTCGACTTCTTCTTCTTTCTCTTCTTCTTTTCTCCTCTTCCTCCTCCTCCTCCTTCTTCTTCTTTTTCTTCTTCTACTTCTTCTTCTCTTCATCTTCTTTTTTTTTTACTTCTTCTTCTTTCTCTTCTTCTTTTCTCCTCTTCCTCCTCCTTCTCCTCCTCCTTCTTCTTCTTTTTCTTCTTCTACTTCTTCTTCTCTTCATCTTCTTTTATTTCTACTTCTTCTTCTTCTGCTTTCACTCTTAAAATGGTTGTTTACATGATGTGGTTTACAGCAAGGCTGTCTTCTTCTTCGATCCTTCTGTCAGAAAACATATATTAGGCGGCCGGTAGCCTTTATGAAATCTATCGTGCAATCCATATTCTCTCGTGTACCAAACAGTTTTGTCTTCACTGTGGTTGGAACAGGCCAGACTGCGTCTCTGTTGTCAGCATACAGGTGACAGTGTTGGAGCACATGCTCAGCATTTTCGGGTGCCACTCTGCAGGGACACGTCTCCTATTTTCTACACGGAAAAATCTGAACATATGTTGACAAATCTGTTCTGCCCAGTCCTTAGTCTGAACATAAAACACTGTCCCTCTCTAGATAGGTAATGAAGTGAGTCTTGCGGAGAAAATCTGGTGTGGGTATCCAGCCACCTTTCTTGGATACTAGATTGTATTAATGTTTTTGTCTCTTGGTGGTTTAAGTCGCTAATTGGTTGTACCATGTCACTGCCGCTTCTGGCCAATCTGTCCACTACTTCATTGCCTTCCAAGCCACAGTGACCTAGAATCCACTGCAGTACATATTGTTCTACTGAAGAGCCTAAGTAAATCAGCTGTTGTGTCAAGTCTACAAACTGAGTGTCTTTTGGGTTAACGATTGCTTGTAGAACTGACATAGCATCAGTCAGAAAGACCATTCTGCTATATTTGCTGTGCTGTTGTCCATTCAGGAAAGAACATGCTGCCAGAAATGCTTCTGCCTCTGCTCTGTAATTGGAGGAATATGAACCTGTTGGTACAGCCTGGTTGATTTTTAAATCATTTCGGCATTCTATATATATTCCTCCTTCTCCGTCTCTTACTGCTCTCTTGTGATATCTGCACATTTAAGCTTTTGAAAAAAAAAACTGATTTCAGCAAACTCCTAAATAGTTTTCTCTTTTGGGACAGAGGGTCTATTTTGTTTCTCAAAGTGGAGCCCATAACCCACACAGAGACCTATAGAATCTAGGTAGTGGGAAAAAAAAGAAGTTTTATAAAGGGTCTCCTTCTTATTTTTTCTTCATGTTCACCAGCTGTAAACTCCAGCAGAAAGTTCTGGTTGTTCGTCCACCTCTGGACTTGAGTCTTGCTCCAGAATCTGAGTGTTGCACGCACAGCCATTTATAGATCTGACTTATTTGTTTACAGGTCGATAATTCTTTGCCTCTCAGGTAGATAGGAGAAAGCTCAAGGGAGTCTAAAAAGAGGAAGAGGACATAGGAAGAGCTGCATGCGATAGCAAAGAATAGAACGACTTGGCGTGAGCTGGTTGAGGGTCTATGCCCCACGAAAGGGGGAAGGGGGGGGGGGGAATAGAAAGGCAAAATTTAAAAAAAAAAATGAAGTTGGTTGACAGCCTCTGCTCTGAGATATGCAAGTCAGAAAAGACAAAAAAACATAACTATAACATACCAGCTAGCATAACACATTATCAGATAACAAATACCTTCATTCTGGGTTTGTTTTCCTTATAATATTCATCTTCACAAATCTTGTACTTGACTTCCAAGATTTCTTTCTCCATGTTTAGAGCTGATCATCTCCAGGATAGATGCTCTGAGAGCAGAGAGACACTGCAGAATAACCTGTGTCTTCTTGTTTGTCTGTATGCTCTTTCTGCTCCTACAAGACAACAGATCTTAGGGAGTGAGACAAGGCAACATGGGTAATGTAAAACTGAATGGGTGAGTGAATGAATGAATGAATGAATGAATGAATGAATGAATGAATGAATGAATGAATGAATGAATGAATGAATGAATGAATGAACGAATGAATGAATGAATGAATGAATGAATGAATGAATGAATGAATGAATGAATGAATGAATGAATGAATGAATGAATGAATGAATGAATGAATGAATGAATGAATGAATGAATGAATGAGTGAATGAATGAATGAATGAATGAATGAATGAGTGAGTGAATGAATGAACAAGTGGATGAATGAATGAGTAAATGAATGAGTGAATGAATGAATTAATGAATGAAAGAACTCTTTTAGTCCAACAAGGTCCCGGCTCATGTCTAAGGGAGTTGCACATGGCAATATTAAACTCATGGATATACTACTTCCAGAGGGGCGAAATATACAACCACTGCAGTTCTTCAGAGCTGCTCACTAAACTTCATCATCATGTGTCCTGCCGACTGATGTAGGCGTTCATGCCTCCACAGATCTTGGTCCCTCGTCTTCTGGATCAGTTCCACGGATGATATCCCTTAATGCCACCGTCGCAAATCCATCTGTCATCATCTCTCTCAGTATGCCTCTGCCTCTTCTACCATTGATCTTTAGTCGTCACAAAATCTGCAGAAGCCTTCCCTCTCATCACATGATCAAAGAACAGTCTTGTCCTTACAGCTGTATATATTGATCTCCTTTCATGAGCTTCTTTCAGGCAATCCTTGTTAGTTACACTGGCAGTCTAGGGGATTCCTAACATTCATCTGAGAAACTACATCTCTGTCACCTCCAAGTTCTTTCACATTTGTGCCTTCACATTCCATGATTCACTACCATACAGAAATATAGGTTCTACATAATATTTTAGTACTCTCTTTCCAACATCCAACGAGAGGGACCTGTTGCCTAAGATGTTCTTCATTCACTATCTATAAGATGTAATAACATAACTAACATGTTGACTGGTGCAGGTGAATAGCACCCAATCATGTATGGTGCATTGTTTGGGACAGAAGGAGTTAAGAATTGACATCACACACTGGACGTGATCTCTATCTCCCTTTTTAGCAACCAGTGAATAGTTTCCATTCTGACGCTGAAAGTGGCAATCCATCTGTCTCAGTTCACGTTTTCGGTGTCTGCCCAAATCTGTAATCTTCTCCTTGCATTCCCTGTTCTTTGATTTCTCCATCTTCCCATATATCTGCTGGTCAAAGGAAAACAGCATGCCCTGTGACCACATCAGAAAGAGACCATCGACATGCTTTGTCATGTGATGACAAGGGGAAAACTGGAGTACATCATGACGGCAGGAGAGTCTGAGGAAAGGAGAGGCAGAGGGAGACCGAGAGAAAAGATGCTGGATGGTTTGACATCATGGCATGGAGGATCATTTGTATCAGAGTTGTCTGAAAGTACATGAGACAGAAGGTTTTGGATAGAAATGACTACCAACGCCATACAGCATAAACTTTAAGAACAAATGTGCTCGCTCCATCTCTCCAGCAATAATTCTTCTTTGCGACGTTAATATCTCCTTCTTTTCTTTCATCCAAGTGATGTAATTGCGTTGTGCCTGTTTACAGTAAAGCTGATATGTGCGCTTTTCAGGTGACACATACAACTCCATCAATCAATCAGTTAATTAACACTCAAATACCTTTAAAATCTGTTGCTGCAGTTGTTTTAATTCTTCTGTAATTATTTTATTGCTGGGGTCAATTTTCAGACCATCTTTGAAATGCTGCAGCGACTCGGTGAACAATTCTAGTAGAGCACAAGCCTGTGAAAGTTCAACATAAGAACTTAATCGTTAATCTAATTTTTAATAATAGATGATGATGATGATAGAGAGTTTGAACAATAACGCATTAGGCAGTTGTTACTTTAGTTAGTTTCAGGCAGGTGCGCCACCATAAAGAAAATATGGGATTGGGAAGCTGAGGAAATATTTTTTTTTTTTAATATATTAACAGTTTATTAAAAAAAATTTAAGTTGTAACTTAGAACATTGTAGAGGATCATATAATTTCTGCGATTTTTTTTAAAAACACTTTCTTTGTTATTTCTTTTAATAACAATTAAAGAACAATATATTTCCATTACACATATATTTAAAATGTGTCTATATGAGGGGAAGTTAATAAGTCCCAAATGGTTGTTTAAAAAAAACAAAATAATAACAACTTGAAAACTTAATTTTTACACACACACTGTCCCTCTATTTTTCAACGTAATTTCTACCAACATTGATGCACTTGTCCCATCGTTTTATCAGTACTCCCAAACCTGCTGCATAAAACTGTGTGCTCTGTTTTATAAACCCCATTTTTACTTCACATCCAACTTCTGCGTCATCCACAAAATGTCTCCCATCAAGGTAGGTTTCCAGCAGACCAAAAAGGTGGAAATCGCTAGGGGCTAAGTTGTATGCTGAACCATGTGAGCACCCTATTGCAGCTGCTACAGGGTCAACCGTTACTCGCCTGTCACCTCTAATATGACAGCTGCACAGATGCGTCTGTTGTAATCTCAAAGGGCGACCAGATCGGACTTCATCAACAATCTTAGAGCGTCTTTGATTAAAAAAATTTTATCCAGCTATGCACCACTGTAAGGGATAACCAATAGTCAGCACAAACAGGAGGCACTTCCTTATGAATTTCCTTTGCAGGCAGCCCTTTTGCCCCCAAACAAACAAAAAAAACCACAGAACAGATTGCTGCTCTTTAAGGGTTGTTTGTCCATCACGAGTGATGAAGACTACTTTCATCCAAAGTAGTAATACTCTTTGGGGGTACACTCTGTAACTACACTTACCATTTTGTTTCTGTGTTGCAAATGCGCATGCAACATCTAGCGCCACCTAACGAGCAAGACATACATTTTGATGTTGCTGGCACCTAATGACACCTTTAGAAATACCAACTACATTTTCTTGCCATCCCATAGGCATTTGTGACTTACCTATTGACTTCAATTCGTATTTCAAGGTTTCTGAGATTAGCTGGTGTAATATACAATGGTACGGGGCCTGAGGGCTTTATATAGCTTAAGGCCTCATTTAGTGTAAATTTTGGTCCCAGGGGCTTTGATGTCAGTTCTTAACTAAGCTAAACTCAAAATATACATAGTGGATGTTTTATAAAAGATAGATTTATAAAAGATAGATTTATAAAAGATAGATTTATAAAACATATTTGTAATGCACAAGATTTTTTCATTGTGGGTTTTGGTCATTTCAGGCATCTGCTGAAAAATCTTCTGGGACTAAAAGATATAACTTATCTTTCTTGTTACAGTGAAATTTAAGAGGAAGATGAACTAAAATTAACCCCTGTGATATCAGATGCCTGGAGAAAACCACCCATGTTACTATTAGAGACTTGAGTGAGAAATTATATTATCAGACAAACTGTGAGAATAACACCTTGCACTAAATTCATTGTATAGCAAATTATTTGATCATTTTGCTAGAATGCAATGACAACTACCAACACAGGCACTGTATCTAAACAGATCTGATGTGAAAGCAAGAAAGCAGCCAAGGAGAAGATGGTCTGATAATTTTTAAGACATTCTACATCCATATGCCACAACAATGGCCATTATTAGCTACTCAGCACTCGGCCACAAACCGTTCACGATAATGTGAAAAGTGGAAATTCATGATGATGATGATGAAGATGAAGTGATAAAACTTAACCTTTCCACATAAAACCGAAGCTTCCACAGATGTCTCGTCAAGATTCTTGGCCCTTTTCCCATCTTCCAGGGCCAGTTTATGATCTCCTAATTTCAGAAAGCACTGGCCTCTTGCACACAGCCACCTGGAAATATGCAATACATTTAACCAGCTTGAGTATGGTGCTGAAACTTGGACAATAAACAAGCTACTAGAAAATCAAACTGTCTGTGGAAATGTGGATATATAGAAGAATAGGTCATGTTTCATGGAAATAAAAACAAAATCAAATAAAAGGTTCTGGAATAAACGAGAATCACTGAAAGAAATTTTTTTAATTGACATTCAAATACTTTGACCCCACTTAAAGACATAATACTCTTTTAAAAACCATACAGGAATGAAAGGTCAAAGGTAAGAGAACGAAAGAACAAAGTTTATTTTCAAAGGGTCACAAATTGGGCATGCAGGCCCATCTTACAGTCAGCCCTTCCAAACACCCATCTTTTACACAGCAGTTGTATTTTATCAATAAAGCATGTTATGTTCATAAAATAGTTTGCATATTATAAATATCAAGCAAAAATACAAAAGCAAGGGTGGTAAAATGTATGCGCACACTTGCGCATGCACACAAACACCAACAGACACACGCAAACCCACGCACTCACTTACACTCACATGCACCCACATACATACATACATACATACATACATACACACACACATCCACACATCCACACATTCATACATACACACATTCATACACACACATAACATACATACACACACATATACACACAAGCGCGTATGAGATGTATCTCAGTGCTGATTGGGATTTTGTTTGCTTGACTACACTAGAGCTTACACATGTGATCATGCTTTAGCACTGGCATCTAGCCACTACACCACGGTGGCTCCCTTCAGTGTGGAGCCAGAAAATAGTTCTTTTAGCCTTGAACAAACATAGAATAACTTTTTTTGGGGTTAAACTTTTCTAATCAATCAGTCAATCAGCATCTCCCTTAAGAATGTTTGCTCAGTTCATGGCACGCCCCAAAGTCTCTCCTTCTCTGGCTGATTCTCCAGCCTTAATGTGCTTTCACTGCCAATGCATCTTCAGTGCCCTGTAACCACCTTCGCGGAGGTGGGCCTCTGATTCATTTTCCAGAAACTGCACTCTCATCATCATTCTCTCCAGACCACCATAGCCAAGGATAATCAAAGTCATGGACTACACTAGTCTTCTTCTTCTTCTTCACGTACACCGGCTGCAAACCCCGACAGAAAGTTCTGGTTGCTCGTCCACTTCTGGACTCTAGTCCTGTTCCAGAAACTGAGTGTTGTGTGCACATCCGTTTCACAGGTCTAACTATCTGCATGCTAACTGCTGGTTCCTTGCCTCTCAGGCAGATGTACTCCGACTTCGAAGGAAGCTCCCAATTAGTCGACTCTTACGACATGTCTTTGGGCAGGAAGTGGGTCTATTCTTGATCTCCCCACAATGGAGCCCTGGAACCCACACAGGGGACTACACTAGCAATGCTGACAGAAAACAAATGTAAGTTATGTAAGTTACGTAAGTGTTCTTTATGAATTCTTACCTCACTGATTCAGCTGGGAAAAGCTCTAGCAGTTGTGTGTACTTGCTGACAGCCTCTGTAAATAGTTCCTTTCTGACATCTTCATCTGCCTGAGACTCCAACTGATTAGATGTGTCAGCCATTTTAAATGTCAGTTCCTGAAGGAAACAGACATGTTTTGATTCAACTCATTAAGTTAAGACTCTTTAAATCAATGAAGCACAAAGAAATATGGTAATAAACAGGAATATATTATGTCTCGTTATATTATAACTTTTACTGTGTTATGTTGGGAGTCGCCATGGCATAGCGGCTAGATGCTCATATGCGGATCGGAAGGTCGCGGGTTTGCTCCCTAGCGGAAGTGGACTTCTTATCCAAAATGACCTTGGCTTCCAAGCCGACCCAGCCTTGAGTGGGTACCAGGTGCAGTCCTGGGAAGTAAAGGGGCTCGGCATGATGACCACATCACCCATGTTGTGCCGTTGGTCTATAAAAAAAATAGGTGTTGCCCTATATACCCAATACACCTGAAGGCATTAAAAAGGGCCCCTTACTTTCTGTGTTATGTTATGTAATTTTTTTTTTGGGTACGTGTGTGTGTGTACAATGGAAATTTCATTAGGTGTTCATCCTCCTTTACAGCCATCCCAGAGTATCAAAGTTCCCATGAAGAACCTGTGTGCTCTACATCTATACTGTTGGCTTGTGAACTCCAATCTTGAAGAACTTTGCTCTTCTCAAGTAGTCGTTTACTTATTCTAGTGAATACTGTCTTATGAACTCTGTCACACTTCAGTGGCTGGGATCCAGCAGACACCACAAGGGAGGTGATTCCCTTTAGTAAGCTGAGGACACAGTTGTTTGAGATTGGTAAATAATTGTATCCAAAACTCAGTTTTCTAAACAGACTTTTGTGAATGCTGGGGTCTCTTTCTCCTGTATAAAAAAATTTTAAGAATCTACCTGATAGGAATTCTGGCATGCTCCACAGAGTCAGTTTTAACATATGGCTGTAAATCCTGGATAATTAATAAACAAGCCAAACAATTTCTTGAATCCTCTTCTTCTTCTTCTTCTGCGTTCGACATCAATCATGCTACACATTGAGTCCCGTCTGGGTCAAAAATAGGATTGTGCGTTTAAGGTCGCCACCGGTCCCCCATAGCTTCTCTCGCAATGTGGATCCCCTGGGCCAGATCCACAGTCTTTGCTGGGAGAGGTAAGGGCAGTACTGCAGTATGTGCTCAGGGGTCTGTCTTTCTGCTCCACAATCACAGCCAGCAGATTCTTTTATGCCTATCTTGTACAGGTGTGCTCGAAGACCACAGTGTCCAGTCCGAAGTCTAAAAATTGATGTTTGTTCTTTCCTGTTGAGTTTGTTTATGCTGTCCCTCTCTGGTCTGTAATCTCTATTCTGCTTTCTCCACTCCCGCTTGAAAGACTGCTTTAGCGCTGTTTTGGTTTCCTTGTAGCTGTGTGGTGGATGAGGTTGTGGAAGATTACTCCCAGCTTTTGCCAACTCATCTGCTCTCTCATTTCCTTGAATACCACAGTGGGCTGGTATCCACTGCAAGACCAGTTCTGCTTCCTTGGAGAGTAAGCCAATGTTGGTCTTTAGATCTGCAATTGGTTTGTCTTGTTTTTTGCTTGATAGGAGAACAGACAATGAGTCACTAAGTATAACAATTTTTGTGCCCTCTGTGTTCTTGAGTGATGAGATGTTGGACTGCAGAAAGGAGGGCAGTTGCCTCAGCTCTGAAGTTAGTGCAGATGTCACCTGCTGGTAGAGAGAGAGTTTCTGCTCTACTGCTGTTGGGTTTAATATATACTCCACAACCCCCCCTTTCTGACTGGATCCTCTGAGATGTGGTTTTCAGAAGACTCCTAAACAGAATTGCTCGGACATTTAAAAATAGCAACCCTAGATGTTTTAATAGAGGTCAGGGCTTAAAGACAGCTTATCATAAACATCACAAAGAGAGAGTTATCATTTTTTGGTCATGATATAAGAATAAGAAAACTGGAACATGTTGTGACTACTGGATGGATCTTTGGAAAGAGAGACATGAAGATTCTTGGCAGTCTTTTGTCATGATATGGAGGGGTGTCAACACACAAACTGATACACACTGTTAAAGATCACAGATAGTCTAGAGGCATGATCGACCACACCAGTTGGCAAAACACTTGATGGTGAAGAGATATCCACATACTCGGTCCCCTAATTCAACAGGCATCAGAGTGCCTGTGTTGATGCTAACAGCAGCAGTCTGACACTCCAGTACCTGTTGATCTTTTTCTCTGTATCGTCCTGACCCTCTACTCACTTCCCACTGAATCAGTCTCACCAGATATGTGGATACTTTTTTTGGCTACAGTATTACATCCTAAAGTCGAGCAGTAGTGCAGCACATCAACACTCACCATGTTTTTTTTCTTTTTTATTATTATATTACGATAAATTATTTCTTAAACATTGATGCTTAATGTATGAGAATAATATTAAAAACTTGCTATTCTCTGAATAACGGTCTCAAATTATAGAGGCTGAAAATATACCCTAACAGGGCCTCAGTCACATGTCAATTGCGGACTTTCGGGGACTATACCGCCACCGCCGAATTGCGGACTTCCAGCGACTTCCACCACCGCCGAGAGTATCTCCCACGCCAATACGTGCGGCATGAATTGGGGTTAAACTAAATGGCTGGGACTCACAAGCAAATAAAATGAGTCACAGCCATCTAGTTACGCCCCAATTCCTGCCGTGCATAGCGGCGTGGGAGATACTCTCGGCAGTGGCGGAAGTCGCCGGAAGTGCGCAATTTAAGTCGCCGGAAGTCTGCAATTGACATGTGGCTGAGGCCCTGTTAGGGTATATTTTCGGCCTCGATAATTTGGGACCGTTATTCTGAGGAAAGCCAAAAAACATTTACTGGCAACAAGAAAATCACCATAGGAAATTGGCAACCAAAATGGAACTTTTTAAAACATTAAACAAGGCGTTAGACAGGGATGTGTATTGTCACCCTGATTTATTCAATTTGTACAGTGAAATAGTAATTAGATCCATACATGGTATGCCAGGAATATCGGCTGGTGAGCATGTTGTTAATAAACTGCGATATGCCGAGGATATAATTTTGATCGCTGAAAATGAAATACAACTGCATGAAATGATAGATACAGCTGTAATGGAAAGTGAAAACAAGGGTCTTAGTCTGAACAGCAGAAAGACAGAAGTAAGGGTAATTACAAAGAAAACTGACCCTCCAAAATGCAACATCAATGTAAATGGGACAAACCTCAAGCAAGCTGACATGTTTCAGTACTTGGGTACCCTGATCAGATGGACGATGTATTAAAGAAGTTAATGCAGAATAGCTCATGCAAAGGCAGCATTTTAGAAAAGGAATATTTCATACAATATTTCTTTGTCAACTGAGATAAGAGAAAAAAAATTTCCTGAAAGCTATATAAATTCCTTTCTTGATATGTGGAAGTCAATCATGGACAGTAAATTAGGGAAAATGTATTTGGGAGCTGCTTAGGTGTGGTTTTATAGACGAATGATGAGAATACACTGGCAGATAAAAAGAGTGAAGAATGAGTCTTAAAAGAAACTGACTTATGAATAGAACTGATTGCCCACATTAGAAAGAGACAATCTGCATTCTTTGGTCAGGTGATGAGAAATGTACAACTGGAGCACGTCCTGACATTGGAAAGTTGGACGGGATGAGAGGCAAAGAAAGACCAAGAGAAAAGATGCTGGACAGTTTGACATTGTGGCATGGAGGATTGTCTGTGTCAGATTTGATTGAAAGAACACAAGACAGAAGGTTGTGGATAGACAGGACAACCGACGCCCCATGGCATGGAGTTTAAGAATAAGAAGAAGAAATAAGTTCTGTTTTCTCTTCTCCGTAGCCCAGCTGCAGGCTATACGCTTTGCGTTGGTTTTAACAGTGGTATCAAGAAAGCCGACCGTCCAGAAGCAATGGCAAACTACTGGACGTAAATTTGCTTAGAAAAACCACACAACAGCCAGGGGCTGTTAGGGTTGATTCTGCAATGTCCTGTAAAGGATACGTAACTAACCTTCTCCGTAGAGTTCACTGCTGTAAACTCCAATGGAAAGTTTTTGTTCGTTCACTTCTCGACTGTGATCTTGATCCAGAGCTTAAGTTGTGGGTGTACATCCATTTTACAGATATGGCTTATGTGTATGCAGACTGATGGTTCCTTGCCTCTCAATGAATTATTCAACCTGGAAGTTTCCAAACAGGATCGTGCGCATTTCTCCAAGGTTACAGAAACGGTACTTCAGCCGTGAAGAGGGGTAATAACTGAATCAAACTTGTTTACTAAATGTGTCTTCATTTTATTTTGGAAAAATGTATAATAAATTACATAAAGTAGTCCTGCTGTGGGTTTCATATGTATATAACACCTTTCCTTGCTAATGTGTTCGTTTCACTTTTATGGATATGGTAACGCTGTGATGTTTGCTATGACCAGATGACTGCAGATGTATTGTTACAAAAATTTGACTAACAATTTCAAATTGTCACACACATGTTTAACATTTATAAACAACTTTACATACTTCCAGTAACACAAGAATATAGTAATTACTTTTTATACAGATAGTAGGTTTCAACACACAACAGCACACGTTCTCTGCTAGAGTTCAGAACGACACCTTCAAGAAACACAAATGGCCAAGAGTTGAACTGTTACTACAGTCTTGCTCTCAGAGAGTAGGTCAAGATACCAGGTAGATATTCACGTGCGGACCTCTATTTTTAGCGTTCGACAGCACACGGAGATGAGGAACACAGTAACACGGCAGAAAACAGCTGGTACTACACATTTACTTTAACAGAATACGGAACGTTCTCTGGCTGAAAGCTGAGGTCAAGATCACTTTTCGTGTGTAGACCACTCGGGTAAGGAATTCTTCTTCTTAGCATTTATCGGTTGTAAACTCCAGACAGAAAGTTCTGGTTGTTTGTCCACTTCTGGGTTTTGGTCTTGTTTTACAACTTGTGCATTATGTGCACATCCGTTTTACAGATCTGCTCTTTTTGTATGCCGATCGTTGGCTCCACGGCTCTCAGACTAATACCCTCTGACTTCAAACAGAACGTCTGTAGTTAATCAACTCTTACGACAGGCTTGTCACAGAGCAAGTGAGGGACGGCATTGATTGAGGACGCCTTCTTGTCCAAGTGGTGGGAGATGGTGTGAACTCTTTCCATCCCAAGCCTGGTTTTGCACAGCCTTTTATTTCTTAGTTCAAGCCATCAGGCAATGAGGGGATTTGAGGAAAGAAAACTGCGAGTTTATAATCAGTGTGCTACGGAAACAGTTAGCTGCTACACCTTAAGACATTTTCTGCGAGAGACGGAGCACCTATGGTATGCTCTGCGTGCTGTGATGTCCATGCTTAAATCAGTGAATTGAAAGATAGAAAGACAGCAGTGTTCGAATGGTATTATCTTGATGCTAGTATGGGAGAGATAAGCCAACTTCACTCATTTATATTCAAGCCCACTTTAATGATTAAATTAATTGTCTGCCACTTTCATGACCTGTCTCTTGTCCTTATGTGCGTTTATCACTTTATCTTATTTTTCTTTTCTATTACACCTAATCTAAGATTTAGGAGCAGGTAACGAACTTGGGCCCAGCTCTGACCGGTTACACGCTTATGAGTGACAAATCGGGGCAGGACACTGGGATTAGACACTTATTTATGCGTGTTAACCTTTGAGAGTATGTTTAAGTGGCAGGGATGTCAGGTTGGTGCGAGTTGTTTTGTCTCAACGGTCTAACCAGCGACCACGCGTGCTCTGTATTACAAGATGTGAGCGTTTTGAACGACCCCATAATATGTGCAACTGGCACCAACCCCAACCGCACCCTACCCCCGCACACTGAACCTAGGTCCCACGAGAGAGTGCATTCTACACCCCTCTAACGTAGACCAGCCTGACCAAGCATCAATAATAGGTCATCTAGTGTGTAGCTGGGCCTAAGTTTGTTACTTGTCTCAAGTATAACAATGTTGTATATTGTTGCTTCCGGCGTCTGTGGCTTAGGCGTTGCAAACGCGCTTCGTAATGTCGGGGTGCCGGGTTCGATCCCTGCTGCGGACGGTTTGTCTTGCGATGGTTTCGACCGTGGTACCGAGAGCCGACGACCGTCCAGAGGCAATGCAAACTACTGGACGTAAATTTGCCTAGAAAAACCACAACAGCCAGAAAGTGCTGGGTTTGGTTTCTTTAACGTCCTGTAAAGAATACGCAACTAAAAAAAAAATATTGTGGCTGGATCCCTCCCCCCTTTCTCTCTCTCTCTCTCTCTCTCTCTCTCTCTCTCTCTCTCTCTCTCTCTCTCTCTCTCTCTCTCCTTCAGCTTTCTTTTCTTCCCAATGTCAAGGTTTAGACGATGTGAGTGTAAATGCATGAAACTTAAAAGTCTTCCAAACGATTTGCCAACCAGCTTTTTCATGGTACGACCCTGGAGAAATTGGTTCAGTTTTCACACTGCCAGTCCATAGATTTAACAACCTTTCAGTAGAACCCCCCCCCCCCCCCCCCCCGCCCTTTTTTTCTCCTTCTTGTCTGTGCTTGTGTATATGTGTGACTTATGACCTCCCGTCTAATCCGGATCAGAAACGCTTCCTTTACAACATGAGCATGACCTTAATATTCCCTGACACACAGTTCGCTGCCCATTTAACCCTCCGCACATCGGTCGGTATTTGTGGAATGACCGTTTCAGGGCGTCATCTGATGGTCATATTAGACCTGGCCCATTTTCCTGGTCCCTTTATGCAGAGCACACAAAAGGGCAGTTTATTCTTCACCTCAATTTCGCAAGACACAAGCGGATCAAACCTTAAATTTAAATTCTCTGTTATCTCCTGTACTATTTTTAGTTTGAACCCATTTTTAGTTTTAACTATCAGTGTGAGCCTTATAAGACTAATGATTCTAAAACCAGATCCGCTAGTTAGTTCCTGCGTCTGTGACCTCTCGACTAACCCGGAACAGAACTACTTTAGGAGAACATTTAGCTGAAAATAACATTTATAAACCTAATTCGCATATCTGAGACAAAAACGGCAAATTCTTGTCTTGAAATATATATTTTTAAAATAATATGTTGTCACATATTGTGTTTTACAAAAATGCTTCTTTTTTATTACAAATTTTATAAAATTGTATATATACTATATTCATTGTAAGTTTACATTATTCTTGGCTGCATTTTCAATTTTATCATAACATATTTTCTTGTTGAAACTGACGCAAGTTGTGACCGATATGAATGTCTCCGTTCTGTTTAAAATACATTTCAGGTAGGTCTGTCAATAATGGACCAAGGATGGGTTTGTTTGTTGACATGTGGAGTTGATCAACAAGCCGGTCACGTGACTGTCTGGTAAACATAATGGCTGGAATGTCGAACACCGGCCCAGCCCCTTCCGGCCAATCAGATCACTTGGGGCAGGTCGTTGCACTAAATACACACCTACAAATGTTAGCCCTGGATGTTGTTGTAATTTTAACAAAACATGGCATGTTTGTTTTATATAACTATTAAAATTGTGATTAAATTGCTTTTGACGAATGTTAAGTTAAAGTTGTTATAGACTCTTTCGCGCGCGGAGTGATATTTGCTGGTGCGGTAGTGACGCGGTAAAGGAGTGCAAACATAAACAAAGCTCTCCATTCAAGCCGAGAGCTTGGTCCTGTGCTGTCTGTGGGCGCTGTCTGGTGGTGGATTCCTGACAAATTCAACATGCCCGTGCTTTTGAAAAGTCAAGACAGCACAGTATATCCGACGGTGGATGTAGAAACGTTGGTTAATGAAGTCAGAGAAAGACTATGCCTCGAAAAGTCGGGAGAAATTGAGCTCGCATCAGCGGAGCGTACCGTACCATGTCGTCGGTCGCCATTCTTCGTCCGCTATCGAGCACAAAAGCAAACATTATTCCTCGCCGGATCTGTCTGTCGATCGTTGTAAACAAAGACAGCACGGTTCGTATTCAGCTTGTGCATACGGTAAGAACATGTCTTCCAAACTAAGAGGTAGCTGTACGTTTGATAACCCGCGTGATTTGTTGGAAAAACTGATCTCAGAACAATCTCTAATTCAAGAAGCCGTCCGGCGACTCCAGTCGCAGACCACAACAACGCCGGTATCAAGGAAGTTCTTCTCATTTGTCGATGATGAATCTTGTGGCCCTCTTAGCACCGAGACTGCCATGTATCCAGGAGAGGATCGTTTTTCTGCATTCTGTTAACTACTCAGTAATGAACGAGTTGGTTTCCTTTCCAGTGTAATGACTTGACCCTGCATTGGGAATCGTTTTCAGCAGTCACAGGAGTTGCCGGTATCCAGTGTGGATTTAGTGTGGATTTAATAACAGTTTGACAAAGATTCGGGTGTACAGATTTTCTTCATGTGCAACAGTGTTATTATCTGCACCCCAGGCGGCCTTAACCACAAAATGCTCAGAATTATCCCTGGTACTTAATGGATTCATGGAAGCGGTCCCTTTCACAACCATAAAAAGACAGTTGCATATGATCATCGTTGTTATTTGGATCTGTACTTTCTCACAGATTTGAACATCAACACCAAAAAAATTGTAGATTATCATGTGACATGTCATGCCAAACAACTGCACCATCATTCAAGGAAGACCTGTCTCTCTCACAGCCATGACACTTCAACTCCAAAGACAGTTGCTTACTGTTATTGTTTAGTTTTTTTATTTTATTTTAATCCTTCTGACAGTTGAAAGTAAACATGCTAAATATATTAGATTGATACACATGAACATGTATCAAATGAATTATAGAACCATTCAGCGTGAATGTTGTGGATAGAGCGCCTTTATCAGCACATGATCTAATCTACAGTACCACAAGTATGAACAGAAATCACTTAGCTGATACATTTATGTTATAAATCACAGTAACTACTCAACATTATCCAGTGACTACATCGTTCATGGGAGTCGTATCTCCATCACAGCCAGGAAGATTAGATTAGACATTTGCTTACCGTCATTTTATGGATCTATTCCTTCTCAGTGAGTTGAGAATCATCACAGAAGAATGTAATAGCAACACCCTCTCTGCCAGCAACTAGATCATTCAAGGAAGTCCTGTCTTTCTCTCACCGCCATGAAGATTGGACTGTACAAACAGTTGTATACTCTTATTGATATTTGGTTTGTAATTTCTCACAGCCGGATGTTAACACCAAATATAATCGATTGTAATAAACATTGTCATCTTCGATGCCAACAGCCATATTCAGTGAAGTGCTTCTTTCTCACAGCTGTAGAGATTGGACTGCAAAGACGATTTCATAATCTCATTTGATGGTGTACTTTCACACAGTTGAATATTAATACCAAATAACTTAGACGTTATTTATAGACATTGTCACTTTCTATGCTAGCAGCCATATTGAACAAGGAAGCTGTGTTTCTCTTACAACCAGAAAGATTGGACTGCAAAGACAGTTGAATACTCTCACTGATATTTAGTTTTTGTAGTTCGCAATTAGATTTTAACACCCATCATCCTCTGTACCAGGGCTGTAGAACTGGTGTCCCAGAAGGCAGAGCAAATTAGCCATGGATTATCGCCAGCTGTATTGTATTATTGATCTCCCTGTGTGGGTTTCGGGGCCCTATTATGGGGAAGACAAGAATAGACCCACTGCCTACCCCAAGGCATGTTGTGAGAGTGAACTAATTGGCAGATTTCTTCGAATTCGGAGTGCATCTGCCATACAGACAAGGAACCAACAGTCTGCATACAGGTGAGTCAGATCTGTCAAACGGATGTACACACAATACTCAGGTTCTGAAACAGGACTGTAGTCCAGAAGTGGACGAACAAAAAGAACTTTCCTCCAGAGTTTGCAGCCGGTGAACATAAAGAAGGAAGAATTATTAATGAACTTTCTATTCTGGAGCTCAAGCTTCTGGCCCGTGATGATCCCAATTTTCAGAATTGTCTTCCCTGTGTAAACTTGGTTGAATAACCAGCCCTGCTCTTTACCAAGTAAGTTATTCAAAGGAGAAGTGGCTCATGGCTAAGATAGGGGGTGCTGCAGTTCCACAGTGTCAGTCCATCACCGGCTCTAGCTGACGGTTTATACTGCTGACGTCACCGTGTTGGGCTAACAGTGCGTTTACGCAGCGGTACTCAAAAAAAAAAAAAAAACTATTTTTGGCAGTGGCAAGGGCAGACAACTTGAATTTTAACTTTTAAGTATCTACATGCCTTCTTTAATAATTTAACAATTTTTAGTCGACTTTTCTTGATTATTGACGTGGCACCCCTGGGCATAGGCTCCGGAACCCAGTTCGAGAACTGTTGCGTTAACACCTCATTAGCTCGACCCAGTGACCTCAGCAGCATGGCCCGTCAGCTGGAGCCGGTCGTGGTCAGTCCATGAGTCATCACTGCGTTGTCTATCTCACAGACATAGACACTGGACTGCAGAGACAACTGCATACACCCATCAATATTAAATTGTGTACTTTCTCACAGTTGGATGTTAATTCTTTGAGTACCAAGGAATACATCACGTGTCAAATTATAACTGATGTAACAGTTATGTGGTACTGAAAGAATTAACACCATATCTAGTGCACATCGCCCTGTCTGTCAATAACCATATTATTCAAAGAATATCTCTCTTTATCTCTCTCTCTCTCTCTCTCTCTCTCTCTCTCCCTTTCTCACTCAGTCATGAACACTGGATTAATGCATAGACGACTGAATACACCCGTCACTATTTAGTTTTGTACTTTGCCATAGTTAGATATTAACACCAAATATCGATGGATGTATGCTATACTTCAGGGCTATTCAACTAAATCTTCTCAGGAGCCAAAGTTTTGAAAACGGGTATCGTCACAGGCCAAAGACTTGAGCCCTAGCGTAGAAAAGTCATTAATATAGTACAGCTGGCAGTGATATGCGGACCACTTGCTATGCCTCCACGGGCCACCCGTTGAATAGCCCTGATTTAGTATGTCATTGTCAATACCAGCAGCAACACAGAAAGCAGTGTTTTTTTGTCACCCATAAAGATCGGGCTGTAGTGATAAAAGCACATCCTCATCATTGTTTTATATTTGTTCCACGTCGTCGAAGTTTAACATTTGAGTATAATTATGTGATAAACATAACCGTAACCTCTCGTGCTGACAAGCACATCACATTATCTGTAATATTTACGAAGCAATTCTTCATTGTCTGTTCTAATTGTAGTTGCTTATCAAGCCAGTCACATATGTTAATAAATCTGGCTTTGCAAGTCTGATAGTTGCCATTTGGCATATATGTGAGTTTGAATGGATAAATGATTTGATGCATTTTCAGAGGTAGTTGTAAGTGGTTTTTTTTTTTTTACATTTGCAATAGGACGATGCATTTCATAGTTTGAATCTCAGATGTTTTCAAATGTGCTTGTAGATCAGGGCTATTCAGCTGGCGGCCCGTGGGACAAATTTGGCCCACTTGCCAGTTGTATTGCATTAATGAACTTTCTATGCTCGGGCTTCTGGCCCGTGACGATCCACATTTTCCAAATTTTGGGCCCTGTGTAAAATGAGTTGAATAGCCCTGCAGTCAATTATCCCTCAATATAAAGTTAACTCTGTAGAAACAAAAACCACCTTTTTATTTTGTTGTTGGTGTTTTTCACTGTTTTTCATAAAGTTTAGTACATAAATCAACATTATTTATCCAGTCACACATTACACTGTTTCAACATTAGCAGCATTCGTCCACTAGAAAGAACTTGTCTGCCTTCATTTTTACTCAATTCCTTTAACTTCATAATCAAATTATGTAACTAATGTAGCACAAACATTTGTTGTTTTCTTTGTTTTTGACAATTTTTGCAGCATTAGTAATAGTAGTTTATTTGAAAAATTAATACTAATTACGTTGTTTATTTTTCTACTCCATGTTTTTGTATGTTAATTGATTGTGATAATGTCTATTTCTATAGCATTGCACTAACCATCTTTTTCCCCCCCGCAAGGGTTTTTCTTAATCATGTTTTTAAAATCCTAGTGATGTTTAGCTGTTTGTTTATTTTTCTATTCCCATGTTACACTTGTTATTCTGGTCTGTTCAGTTTTTTAATGTTATTTAATTGTAATTTTTCCATTGAATGGACAAGCAAAGTAAAGAAAGGCCACTGTTGTAAATGTTATAACTTATCTTAAAATACATTCTTTGCTTGAAAAATAAGTGGTTAATGGTCACAGAGTGATTATATTAAGTGTATCAGCCTGTTCAGATATGTAAAGTGAATTGTGTTACTGTTTGTAAAGAAGATGTTTAAGATATTAAAAACTGCTGCCAGTAAATTGAATTTCAATTTTCACCCAGTTTTTCCATACTTTTCTGTAGTGTGAAATCCTTTTAATATCATGGATGGGATCTAGTTCAGATCGCATTGGCTTCTCTCAGTAACCTTCATGTCAGGGTTTCTTTTAGATTCATTTCCTAAATCCCTTTGTTTCCCATTTCAGTGCCTGTTGGTAAAAAACGCTGTGTTCGCTTTGAATAATAACTTTTTCATCACCAGCCTGTAAATACTTTGTCTATCCTAAACGCTGAGTAGTACTGTTAGGCAAGCAGTATTTGGGTCTTAAGTAGAGCTATTCAACTGTCCGGCTAAATTTGGTGCACAGAGGCCTAGCAACTGGCCCTGCGATCACCAACTAATCATATTGTATTTACAATCTTTCTGTGCTGGTAATCTGAACCAGGGCAATCCTCATTTTCCCAACATGAAGTTCCTTGAGTCAACTTAGTTGAATAGCCCTGGTCTAAAGCATTGATTTTCCACATATTTTTCAGGGGGGGGGGGGGGGGGGGGGGGGCTCCCCTTGAATATATGGCAAGATATTTTTGCCTCCAACCAACCATTCTTTAAAAATGTGATTAAAAGAGGTTTGTTTGGTTTGAACAACGGATCAACATCGTGGCACAAGGGTAGTTACCCATAAGTGCTTTGTTCTACTTCTAACTCAAACCTGAGTCCAAAGAATCTCAGCACAGTGCACGAACTCTGTAGCACCAGCGAGGATCCTAGATTACTTTTGGTAGATTTTAAACTCCAAATTTTGCCCAGGCAGCGCTGTTAGTCTACTGTTTTCGATTTCCAGCTGCCAAGGGATTTTTTTTACATGCACAATAATAATACACGCGAGCATACGATCTCACTACCCAGAGGAAATTACTAGAGGTCGGTGTG